GAGAGAAGCTGCTGCCATCCAGGGGAGATGCTGAGGAAAGAACAGAATGGGAGACATTTTATAAAAATGTTTCCCACGTGATGTATGATATCTTCTTCCATGTCTGGTATTTCTTTCCTAATACACTAAAGATAATCACTATACAGTTTCAGGTGTTCATCTGTGTAGCACCTGAAATGATTCCCCATCCCTCCAGGCTAGCACCTGCACCATGGGAGCTGCCTCAGATGGCATCCACTTCTGTGGCTTTCATTCCACCTCGAGGAGGATGACTTAGGAAGTCGTATTTCCCACCAACCTCTTCCCAGAACAACCGACAGCACCATTTAAATGTCTAACACCATTATTTCTGCTCCTGCTACCTTCCAGACGCACTAGCCCCCATTCGCTGTTCCCTCCGCCTTTCCTTTCAGAGTTTTGCCTGTCCTGTTTCTAATGCTCAAATGTTACCTCCTCAGAGAAGCCTTCCTGGACCAGCCCAGCGAAGTAAGCACATCTCCCCCAGTTACATCGCCCTACCAATTGTAAGACCACCCCACAAACTACATCCCCTTATTCCCTTCATAGACGCCATAATCTGCACCTTTTGTGGATTTTGTTGTTTGCTTATTTTATCTCTCCAACTGCTAGAACATAAACTCCATATGGACAGGGATTCTGTCTTTTTTGTTGAAGGGGACCTTACATGTGGTAGGTGCCCAATAAGTATTTGTTGATTTAATGAGTGGATTAATCTGTGATGACTGCCAATAAATGATTCTATGAAGAGAAAGTCTACAGTGTCTCATGTCACCATTGATAATGGCAACATACTAATGAATAAGATTTTACAGCACTTTATAGTTTTGTTTTAATTTTTTTTTCAAATCCTCATCCAATGATATGTTTTTATTGATTTGAGAGAGAGGGGAAGGGAAAAGGGGAGAGAGAGAGAGAGAGAAACATTGATGTGAGAGAGAAACACCAATTGGCTGCTCCCTGAACGCACCCAACCAGGAATCAAATCTGCAACCTAGATATGTGCCCTGACCAGGAATCGAATCCAAAACCCATTGGTGCCTGGGACAATACTCCAACCAACTGAGCCACCAGCCAAGGCAGCACTTTCTCATAGGTTATTACTATGGTCTGAATGTTTGTATCCCAAAAAAATTTATATGTTGAAATCCAAATCCCCAAAGGTGATATTAGTTGGTGGGCCCTATGTCATAATGGAATTAGAGCCTTATAAAAGAGGCTGCAGGGAGCTCCCAACTCCGTCCACCACGTGAGGACATAGCCAGCTATGAACCTGGAAGAGGGTCCTATCCAAAACATGACCATGCTGGCACCTTGACCTTGGACTTCCCAGCCTCCAAAACTCTGAGGAACAAATGTCTGTTGCTTAAAAAACGATGTGATCTTAGCATATAAGCATAGCTCAGTTTAGCTTAGACTGTTCTATAGTATTTTGTTATAGCATCCCAAACAAGCTAAAACAGTTACCAACATTTTTTTTTCACCAGAACCTATCGAGGTAGATACTATTTTTATCTTCATTTTGCCCCTAAGGAAACGGCTAAGTAGGTAAATGTAACTGGAGATACACTAGATGAGAAAACTGATAAGCTGTCAGAAGTGCAGACAATGCCAAGTGAACATGCCTGTTTTTCTTGCTAAGGTGACCCATCCTCCTAGTTCTCCTAGGACTGTCCTGGTTTTAGTACTGAAAATCCTGCATCCTGGGAAAACCAGGACAAACTGTCACCCTGTCTTACCCAGAAAGCTGTAAATAAGACATTAGACACTTCATGCAATCAGATCCCTGGCCATCGAAAATGCAATGACCAAAACCTGGGGGATGGAGTTTAGAATCTAAAGCTATCAAGTTACATAATACCTGCTTGATGCACCCACCCAGCTTCCTTCAAAGGAATGCTAAGACAGGAAGTCATTAATAAGCTGAGAAGGAGCGGACGCCCAGAGATGCGGTCCCCAGAGATGCGGTCCGTGGTCTGACCCTGGGAGATAAAGATGGTAAGTAGGTCAGCCTGGCTATCAGGCTCATGCTTTCAGACTGAATCTGATCCACTAAAAGCCCAGAAGGTATGCTGGGCAGTAGTGGAGCCAAGCCCTGCAGGCACCCTGACCAGGAGAAACCAGCTTAATATTCCAAAGAGGAAAATTCCTCTTCTCCCAATTCAACATTTTTTCTCAATATCATTGGAAGTCTTGACTTCATTATTCTGGTAAAGTAGCCATCACTATTTCACATGTGGTGTGCCTGTGCGTACGTGTGTGTGTGTACACGCCTGCGTGTTGCGGGGAGGTAATTACTGCATAGGTGGCATTGTCTGCTCATCTAGGTAGAAACTGTAGTGTTCATTCATGCCATTGGGTAATTGAAGTGAAGCAATTACGTATCATATTTTGAAAGAGGCATTAAAAAAATCCACGACTAGGTGATTCAGACTTAATTATCTTGTCTCTGCGGCAGCTGGGTTCAAAGCTCAAGTGGAGAGCACATCAACTTCAAAGGCAGAGGGAATCGACGGTGCTCCCCAGCTTTGGGCTCTTCCTCTGCTTAAGGTAAGAATCATGAACAAGCTTCAGGGCTCTGCCAGTGCAGGATCTCCGGACGGGGATTACCCTCCCACTGGGAGAGGTCCCAGATCTGGTCGGACACCCTGAGGGGGCAGCTGTCATGTATTCTGAGTTATTGTCTGCCTCGGTTTTTATGTTTTATTTGCTTTTTATGTCACTCACACTCACCCAGAAGACTGTGAACAGCTCTAAGAAAGAAAAGAGAATTGGCTGGGACTACATGTTCAGTTTTGTATCGTTCAGCAGTGTTAAGAAGGTTGCTCAAGAGTCTGGACTTCTTTTTTGCTTCCATTTCAATGGGGAACCCAGCACAGTGGCAGAAAAGTCTAACTGGTGTCTCAACCAGTGTGGTTGGGATTAAGGAGCTGCCTTGACCTCTCTGTTTGGGGGTCAGGTCTTCATCAGTAACCTAGACCCTGCCCTGCCAGAGCAAACGACCCTCCCACTTGCCTGAAAGTTTTAACGTGTCCGTGTTGTGTATGGAGTTTGGGGAAGAAAGACTTGGTGTAAAATTTCAAGGCCCTTGTCATTAGAGATCTTGATATAAAATCAGATGTGTGGGCTGAATCCCTTGAAATATTCTCCAGTTCTTCCCCTATCCCATACCTATTGATTTCTTACATACATTTTGTCTTCACCATTAGGTTGGAATATTATTATACTCTAGGCTTCTTTAAACCAATTGAACTTAATTTTTCCACCTTTGCCTCTGTGTTAAAAGCTACATTTCATTCACTCATCACTTCTTTAATCAATTATTCAAGTCTGTCAGAGCTCTCCCCCATGAGTAGTAATGGCAAATTGATCTGTCTCAGGAATTTTCTCAGTTTTACCAGTTTTCTTATTTCTAGTCATCGGAATGGCTCAGGCAAGGGCCATCTAATTTAGGAGTGTTATTCCGCCCATATGTTGGCATGGAAATGTCATGGGTTCCGAGGCTTTGAATCTTAGAAAGAAGAAATCCTCAGAAGCAACAAGATAGGTTACTTGGCTGGCAGGGTGTTAAAATCATCTTGGATCCCTTCTTTTAACAGGCTACTCACCTTGCCCTTACTTGTCAGCCAAATGACTTAACCTTTTAGGAGTCATCTCCTTGCTTGACAAGGTTCCTTTCCTCCCTGGCCCATAAATTATCCTCCTAGTCAAACAATTCAACTGAAAATTACATACAATTCATCCCTTTATAGCCCAGTAATTTCATTCACTCATAAAAATTTTAGAGGAAAAATATGTTTTTCTATATGCAGTGTTGAGGTCCTGGATCTCCATCAATGTGGACCTCTTCAGAAACTTTCTTTAACTAAGAAGGGAAACAGATTTTTGCTGTTGGAAAGGAATTAAAAACTTCACTTGTGCCCAAGGAAAGACAAAGGGACTTGCAGTTGGTGCTTAAAAATTTCCAGACACTTAATATATTTTTTTCCACATAGAAGATGGCATCAAGAAACTCCTATTTAAAATTCCCAAGTGAAAATGAAAATTCTAGCATTTATCAAGTCATTAAATGAAAAAAATTATAAATAGTAAAAGGAGGAGCCAGAAGAACAAGGTTTGATTCCCAGGTGCTTGACTTACTATGTGACCTCAAACAGGTCATTCAGACTCCCTAAGCCTCTGTCCACATGTCCAAAACAGAGGTCGAATAACATCCACCTCAAAGCATTGTTCTGAGCTTCTTAGCAAGTAGTATCTCTGCTTTGGTTTATCGTGCTTTTTTGCTATAGAAATGGAGAGCTATTTATATGATGGTTTGGTTTTCTCATTTTTTCACCTTGTTCTAGAACCTTTCTTAGTTAACCAGGATCTTGTAAGTCAGTCAGTTGGTCAGTTAGTAAATATTTACTGAGTTCCTACTATGTGCTAGGCAGATATATCATTTCTACTTTAATTTGCACACAATTTAATGGGTATAGTTTTTTGGTCTAACATTTTTTCCCATTGCTTTCGACTGCTATGAAAAATGTTTTCCTCTTTTGAAAAATTTGTCTTATGCCTGCCTTGGTATGACACATCCATTTATAGTTCTTTGCCTACAGATATTAGCATGACTACACATTCATATGACCTCATCTTTTGTTAAAATGTAGAAACACTTCTATACCAGTTGATGAATAGCCACAGAACTGAGCCCCAGGAGTGTTTTGCTTACTCCCATAGTCCCATTCATCTCTGCTATCCCCCAGGTCAACTGAAGGATTAAGGAAGGCCTAGCACAGATGGCAACTGGACCTAGCTCCTGAGTCCATCCTGAGTATAAGATGTGCCTCTCAGAACGTGGGAGAGCTCACACTTGCTTACCCACTCCTCGCATTTCTTCCAGCCCTCAGATCACCATTTCTTGGCCAGAGACCCTCCTCTCCTACCCAAGTCCCTTCCCCTTAGCTCTCAGTCTCTTTCCTCTGTGCTTCCCTTAGTGTGTTCTGCACCCCAATCATCCTCCAGCCACCCCTCCTTAGCCCTGCCCCCAGCATTGCTCTCCAGGTTCTTTCTGTAGATTGTCCTCTATAACCCAAACCAACTCCGTAGGGCTGAAACATCACACTGAATGCATACGGCCATAGCAGTGTTAAAATATTGAAATAACTGAGCAATAATAGTAAATAGTCACTACTCTGAGTCCCCATGCCCAGTACCCCAACCACACTGACCACTCCTCCTCCCCATGATCCAGTGTCTGGCCTCCCTGACTGTGCTCCAGGACTATGGCCAACACCTGCTCTTATGGGTACCTGTGCTCTGCTAGTGTATAGGTGCTTTTTCAATCACCTCTGCAAAGAACTATAATGTAGAGTGAGGTAAGGGCTATTCCTTCATTTATGATTCACTGATTCATTATACCAATACTTATCCATCGCTCCTATGTCCAAGACACCAAGCCAAGCTCTAGGACCTCCAAACCTGATCAGGTCTGTGCCCTTCTGGTACTTCCATTCTGGTAGGAGAGACAGATAATAAACCAGAAGATAAACATACACCCATGTTTCAATATATGTTTTGACTGAGGGTTCCAAAGGAAGTGAGATTAGCTTTGGGAATTCAGAAGTGGTTTCAGAATGAAGGCTGTTTAAAATGGACCTTACCCTAGCTGGTTTGGCTCAGTGGATAGAGCATTGGCCTGCGGACTGAAGGGTCCCAGGTTCGATTCTGGTCGAGGGCACATGCTCGGGTTGTGGGCTCCCCAGTAGGGGGCGTGCAGGAGGCAGCCAATTAATGATTCTCATCATTGATGTTTCTATCTCTTCCTCTCCCTTTCTCTCTGAAATCAATAAAAATATATTTTAAAAATATAAAAATAAAATGGACCTTTGGATGCACAGGGTTTCTGCAGGCCTACGTCAGGGGAGCAGCATAAGTACAGGCATTGGGCAGGGAGCATGGCCTGTGTTTACAAACCAGGAGTCCAGCTTGTCTGGCCAGTGGGGTACACAGAGAGGGCTCCTGGGAGATGAGGTTGATTGAGCCAGCCTTTCCTCACACCTGAAGGTGGACTTATGCTGTACAGAACAGACACATAGTAGATACACCCTTTTCAACCTCATGGCCGTCCGTCAAAATACCTGCCTGAGCATTCACTAATCTGAGCGTAGGTCCACTGTGTGAGTTGGGCAGCTTGTGCACTGGACAAATGCCAGCCCAAGGGGTGAGTAGGGCAGCCCTTGCTCGCCCCACCAAACTGGATACACTGGTGCGGGGTTTTCCTAAAACACTTTTCACCAGCTCCACATTGTGCCAGAGGCCACCTTTACCCATTTCACACAAAAGCCTAGATAGGCTAGCAACAGCCCTCCCCAGATACTCCCTTCCCTGGTCAAACTGCTCTATTCCTTTCAAATAAATCCTTTTGTCTGTGCCACCCCCATTCCCACTTCTATGGCCTTACCCATAAGCCCACACAAGCCCCTTTATCAAAGCTCTCACTTATCTTGGCCATGCACCACACACACACACACTCAAACACACCTCTTACAGTAGCCCCTTTTCCTTCATACAGATTACTAATGAACCCCTTTTGAATCCTGTCCTGCCCTACCCCTCCCTCTGTCTAAATGGCTCCCACAACTTCCTCTTCTTTGATTACCCCCACAAATGTTTCTCTGATCTGTTTCATATTTTTGTGTTAACTCGGTGGGCCTCTCTCACCTGTGGGTCTTTGGCATGTGTGAGAATGTGCCCAAAACCCATTGGGCACAGTGAAGAATATGTGGTCTCTTTCCTTAAAGAAGATGTTTGTTAAGATTTTTTGATGTATCTACCATGTGCCAGGCATCGAACCAGACTTTGGAGATATAAAAGTAAGACAGTGCCAATGATGAAGGGACAAAGACAATCAGAATACAGGATGATGCATATCAAGATCAGGGACTGCTCCAAGTGCTGTGGGAACTCAGAAGGTTAATCTGGCCCACTTCACAGTCTCCAGGAAGAGACATTCATTCATTCAATCAATCAATCATTCAGTATTTACCCATTGCCTACTGTGTGCCAGTCGCTGTTCAAGGTGCTGAAGTGATGCAATTCTTCCCCCATGAAACCTAAAAATTCCAGCAGGAGAGACAGGCAATGAACAAATGAGTTACTATAGACTATGCTAGATGATGATACGTGCCTGGAGAAAAATAAAGCAAGGAGGGGCATAGTGAATATCAGGGTCTCGGGGGTGAGGGGGGTTAACGATCCTTGTTTTGTATAGAGTGGTTGGGAAAGGCTTCAGTGAGATAACACCTGAGATACCTGAAGAAAGTGAAAGACACCCATGTGGTTATCTGTGAGGTGACTCTACCAGGCAGAAGGAACAACAAGTGCAAAGACCTGAGGATACAGGTCCCAGAGAGTGTTCAAGAAAGATAAAGTCAGCCAGTGAGGCTGGGGACAGGTGAGCCAGACAACAGTGTTAAGGAAGGAGGTCAATGAGAAGGTAGAGGTGTGTCATTGTCATTAGTTTCCAAGATGCTTTTAATTTCTTCTTTGATCTCATTGGTAACCCAATCAATATTTAATAACATGCTATTCAGCTTCCAAGTGTTTGCTTTGGTTTATTGTGCTTTTTTGCTATAGAAATGGAGAGCTATTTATATGATGGTTTGGTTTTCTCATTTTTTCACCTTGTTCTAGAACCTTTCTTAGTTAACCAGGATCTTGTAAGTCAGTCAGTTGGTCAGTTAGTAAATATTTACTGAGTTCCTACTATGTGCTAGGCAGATATATCATTTCTACTTTAATTTGCACACAATTTAATGGGTATAGTTTTTTGGTCTAACATTTTTTCCCATTGCTTTCGACTGCTATGAAAAATGTTTTCCTCTTTTGAAAAATTTGTCTTATGCCTGCCTTGGTATGACACATCCATTTATAGTTCTTTGCCTACAGATATTAGCATGACTACACATTCATATGACCTCATCTTTTGTTAAAATGTAGAAACACTTCTATACCAGTTGATGAATAGCCACAGAACTGAGCCCCAGGAGTGTTTTGCTTACTCCCATAGTCCCATTCATCTCTGCTATCCCCCAGGTCAACTGAAGGATTAAGGAAGGCCTAGCACAGATGGCAACTGGACCTAGCTCCTGAGTCCATCCTGAGTATAAGATGTGCCTCTCAGAACGTGGGAGAGCTCACACTTGCTTACCCACTCCTCGCATTTCTTCCAGCCCTCAGATCACCATTTCTTGGCCAGAGACCCTCCTCTCCTACCCAAGTCCCTTCCCCTTAGCTCTCAGTCTCTTTCCTCTGTGCTTCCCTTAGTGTGTTCTGCACCCCGATCGTCCTCCAGCCACCCCTCCTTAGTCCTGCCCCCGGCATTGCTGTCCAGGTTCTTTCTGTAGATTGTCCTATAACCCAAACCAACTCCGTAGGGCTGAAACATCACACTGAATGCATACGGCCATAGCAGTGTTAAAATATTGAAATAACTGAGCAATAATAGTAAATAGTCACTACTCTGAGTCCCCATGCCCAGTACCCCAACCACACTGACCACTCCTCCTCCCCATGATCCAGTGTCTGGCCTCCCTGACTGTGCTCCAGGACTATGGCCAACACCTGCTCTTATGGGTACCTGTGCTCTGCTAGTGTATAGGTGCTTTTTCAATCACCTCTGCAAAGAACTATAATGTAGAGTGAGGTAAGGGCTATTCCTTCATTTATGATTCACTGATTCATTATACCAATACTTATCCATCGCTCCTATGTCCAAGACACCAAGCCAAGCTCTAGGACCTCCAAACCTGATCAGGTCTGTGCCCTTCTGGTACTTCCATTCTGGTAGGAGAGACAGATAATAAACCAGAAGATAAACATACACCCATGTTTCAATATATGTTTTGACTGAGGGTTCCAAAGGAAGTGAGATTAGCTTTGGGAATTCAGAAGTGGTTTCAGAATGAAGGCTGTTTAAAATGGACCTTACCCTAGCTGGTTTGGCTCAGTGGATAGAGCATTGGCCTGCGGACTGAAGGGTCCCAGGTTCGATTCTGGTCGAGGGCACATGCTCGGGTTGTGGGCTCCCCAGTAGGGGGCGTGCAGGAGGCAGCCAATTAATGATTCTCATCATTGATGTTTCTATCTCTTCCTCTCCCTTTCTCTCTGAAATCAATAAAAAATATATTTTAAAATATAAAAATAAAATGGACCTTTGGATGCACAGGGTTTCTGCAGGCCTACGTCAGGGGAGCAGCATAAGCACAGGCATTGGGCAGGGAGCATGGCCTGTGTTTACAAACCAGGAGTCCAGCTTGTCTGGCCAGTGGGGTACACAGAGAGGGCTCCTGGGAGATGAGGTTGATTGAGCCAGCCTTTCCTCACACCTGAAGGTGGACTTATGCTGTACAGAACAGACACATAGTAGATACACCCTTTTCAACCTCATGGCCGTCCGTCAAAATACCTGCCTGAGCATTCACTAATCTGAGCGTAGGTCCACTGTGTGAGTTGGGCAGCTTGTGCACTGGACAAATGCCAGCCCAAGGGGTGAGTAGGGCAGCCCTTGCTCGCCCCACCAAACTGGATACACTGGTGCGGGGTTTTCCTAAAACACTTTTCACCAGCTCCACATTGTGCCAGAGGCCACCTTTACCCATTTCACACAAAAGCCTAGATAGGCTAGCAACAGCCCTCCCCAGATACTCCCTTCCCTGGTCAAACTGCTCTATTCCTTTCAAATAAATCCTTTTGTCTGTGCCACCCCCATTCCCACTTCTATGGCCTTACCCATAAGCCCACACAAGCCCCTTTATCAAAGCTCTCACTTATCTTGGCCATGCACCACACACACACACACTCAAACACACCTCTTACAGTAGCCCCTTTTCCTTCATACAGATTACTAATGAACCCCTTTTGAATCCTGTCCTGCCCTACCCCTCCCTCTGTCTAAATGGCTCCCACAACTTCCTCTTCTTTGATTACCCCCACAAATGTTTCTCTGATCTGTTTCATATTTTTGTGTTAACTCGGTGGGCCTCTCTCACCTGTGGGTCTTTGGCATGTGTGAGAATGTGCCCAAAACCCATTGGGCACAGTGAAGAATATGTGGTCTCTTTCCTTAAAGAAGATGTTTATTAAGATTTTTTGATGTATCTACCATGTGCCAGGCATCGTACCAGACTTTGGAGATATAAAAGTAATACAGTGCCAATGATGAAGGGACAAAGACAATCAGAATACAGGATGGTGCATATCAAGATCAGGGACTGCTCCAAGTGCTGTGGGAACTCAGAAGGTTAATCTGGCCCACTTCACAATATCCAGGAAGAGACATTCATTCATTCAACCAATCAATCATTCAGTATTTACCCATTGCCTACTGTGTGCCAGTCGCTGTTCAAGGTGCTGAAGTGATGCAATTCTTCCCCCATGAAACCTAAAAATTCCAGCAGGAGAGACAGGCAATGAACAAATGAGTTACTATAGACTATGCTAGATGATGATACGTGCCTGGAGAAAAATAAAGCAAGGAGGGGCATAGTGAATATCAGGGTCTCGGGGGTGAGGGGGGTTAACGATCCTTGTTTTGTATAGAGTGGTTGGGAAAGGCTTCAGTGAGATAACACCTGAGATACCTGAAGAAAGTGAAAGACACCCATGTGGTTATCTGTGAGGTGACTCTACCAGGCAGAAGGAACAACAAGTGCAAAGACCTGAGGATACAGGTCCCAGAGAGTGTTCAAGAAAGATAAAGTCAGCCAGTGAGGCTGGGGACAGGTGAGCCAGACAACAGTGTTAAGGAAGGAGGTCAATGAGAAGGTAGAGGTGTGGAGTAGGGCATGGCCTTGCAGCTGGTGGAAGGGCTCTGGCTTTTATGCTGAATAAGATGGGGAACCACTCAAAGACTTGATGGGGTGGAGGTGACAAGATCTGACTTCATTTTAGGAGGCCTACTCGGCTGTGATGTGGAACATAGCCAGAAGAGGACAAGGGAGGCAGAGAGACCAGTAAGGAGCTGATTGTGAACATTCATGAAATGATACTGGCTTGGTGTAATGGTTGGAGGTATAGCAGTGGAAATAGTGAGCCTGCCTGAAAGCTCATGATGTTTCAATGCATGCATGCATATGTATTGTACAAAGTGCAGTGGAAGCACAGGGGGGATGGTGGTGAACCCAGTGCAAAATGACATGGTGAGGGAAGCTGTCACAGAGTGGACATTGGAGCTGGCCCTAGAAGATCCTAAAACTGTCCTCACCCCCACCCCAGTATCTTCCCCAAGGCATATCCCAATCATTACATGTACTGTAAGGCTCTTGTATTTTATTGCATTGCATCATCCTGTATTGTGTTATAATCATCTGTGTGTGTGTGTACGTGTGGGTGGGTGTGACTCACCACTAGTCTATGGGAAGCAGAGGTCAGATATTGCATTGCATCATCCTGTATTGTGTTATTATCATCTGTGTGTGTGTGTGTACGTGTGGGTGTGTGTGACTCACCACTAGTCTATGGGAAGCAGAGGTCAGGGGCCACGCACATGGATCATCTGTACATCCTCAGCATCTAGAACATGTTCTGGTGTGTTTAACAAATGATTACTGGATGGATAGATGTACGGTAGTCCTGGAAGTGAATAATGAAAATGAGAAAGCCTAGAAATGCTGGGTGGAATTGACCAATGAGAAAGTCAAGAATAATAAAGGAGCCATAAATGTCGGTTAATTGCAGATGTGTACAAAGATGGTCCAAGTCCTTTGGGGATGTTTCCTCCTGTGGAATGTCTACATCTCATCTGCTTGGACCACACACCCTGGAATCAAGGCAAGGGCTACTCAGCGGGCTCTGGACTATGGTGAGTTGGATGCTTTCAGAAGCCAGGCTGCAGCCCCCCTAGGTAGAGTCTGTGACCCAAAAGCAGAAGCTCATAGAGAGCTGTGTCATAACTGAGACAAGCTCTGATGTGTGATGATCTAGTCCCTTATGCAGATGGCTGGGAAGAAAGTGTTGCCAAAAAAAATAATCACCTTACAAGTTGGCATATCCAACACTGCCACACCCCAAAGTAGACACACACACACACACACACACACACACACACACACACACACACACACACACACACAATGAACATCTCAGAGAATTCATTATAGGATAGAGGGAAGAAGATTTGTAGTAAAGTAATAACTTACTGTTTCAGAAAGGGTTTGATTCCGAAAGAAACAGAGTTTTCTAAAATTGTGTGTGTAAAATTTAATGGGAATGATGATCATGCATTTTTCTTGAGGGAGACTCTGTACATATATTAGAGGCACAAAGGCGTCTGCAAGATTAAGAACAGGCAGAGGAAAGTGTTGGACTAAGATTTTCTTCGAGCTAAATTGGGATAAGGACAGATTATGTAGAAGAAAGGAACTGCAAAATCAAAGTCTTTGGGCCTATTCTCACCTGTGAATGTTGGCCTAAGATTAGCTAAATAAAGGTTGATATTCACTAATGTCCCATGTTACAGATGAAGAAAGTTCGGGATAAAGAGATTTTATAATTTGCAGGGTCACACAGGCTAGTAAGTGGCAGTGTTGGGATTCCGCCAAAGCTCTCTGATAGATAGTGCCTTCGGTTCCATCTTTCCATCCTTACATTCGATCTTTACATCCTGTATTGCAATATTATTCATGGTATTATAGAGGACAAACTCTTTCCTACTTCATTTCCAACAAGGATAGAGTAAGTAGAAATGAGCTAAAGCTGCAAAGTAAGGAATAAAGGCACAGCTTCCTCCTTGACAAGGTGAAGATGAAAAGATCACTCTTCATTGCTGTGTAAGTTACTTTTCTCAAGCTCTTTAATGGGAAGCGGCCTCTTTTTCTCCCTGAACTCAGAGGAATGTGTTTTGTGGTGCTACCATATTAAGACAGGTCTATTCCCAAATAAAAAGCAGTGGTTCTCAACCTTTCTGGAGTCCTGGGATTCTTTGAGAATTTGACGAAAATGTGGACCCTCTCCCCTGAAAAATGAGATACATATAGGGTGGGCCAAAGTAGGTTTATAGTTGTGAGTATGTGACACACAGTTTATTATTTTTAAAATATATTTTTATTGATTTCAGAGAGGAAGGGAGGGGGGAGAAAGATAGAAATATCAATGATGACAGAGCATCATCAATCAGCTGCCTCCTACACGCCCCCTACTAGGGATCAAGCCCACAACCCAGGCATGTGCCCTGACCGGAATCGAACTGTGACCTCCTGGTTCATGAGCCACACCAGCTGGGCCAGTTTATTCTTATATTATTATTTATTATTTATTATTTATTTTCCATATGAACCACTGTAAACCTACCTTTGCCCACCGCTTTAGGCACATGCACAACCAATCACAGTCTTTTATTAGAATTTCAAGAGGTCCAAAAGTTCCCAAAGGCCCATGGACTTCAGGCCAAAAATTCCTGAGCTTGAAGAATCTAGGGCTGGGGGGAATGATTTTCTGGAACTGACTATAATAAGGCATAGATTCTGGAGCCAAATTGCCCAGATTTGACTATTGGGTTCCCCAGTTCTTTGCTGGGTGACCTAGGCAAGGATTAACCTATTTGAAGTTCAGTTTCGTCATCGGTAAAATGTGAATAATGATAATATTTTATACTTTTCCTATCATACTGTCCTGTGGTAACATTCTTTGGCCCTGGCCAAATAATGAAAATCTCTCATGCTGTTAGCTCTGGGATTTTGAGCAATTTTATTAGCCCCTCTGAGAACCAATGTTTTCATATGTAAAGCAGGGACAATAATACCCACCTTGTAAGACTGCAGTTTTCTAAGCATCTAGGAGAATGCCTTATTCAATAAACTTCACTCTGTTTGGTTCTTTCACAGGCGTTCAAGCTGGGATGGAGATGATTGAGCAAATGGCCAAAGAAAGAAGCATTCCAGATTTAAAAGGTTCTGAATCTCTTGAATTTCTGAAGGTTGATTATGTGAACTACAATTTCTCAAAGTAAGTAAAAGAGCAGAGCAATGTCAGCAGTGAAATTCATCTTTAAACTCTCAGGGTTGTGGACATGCCACCACCTGTTCTGCTGTAACATCAGGCCCTGCAGAGTGGAAGTTAACCAGCCTTTGGCGAGAGGCTTATCAGAAAATAACCAAAGGAAAAAAGGGTCATGAAGTTGACAAAAAGTGTGACATTTGGGTCAGAACACCTGGGTCCAGGTCATGTCTCCGCTGCATACTAGTTGTGTGCACCTGGCGAATCTGCTCAGTGTCTGAGTGTCCTTATGTCCTTGTCTCTCTCCTAAAATGAGAATCCTAATTCAATACAGTTGTCAGCTGCAGCCACCTTATCCCTGGAATTCTAAAGGAAATTCCTGCTCATTCCATTGCTACCCTCACCCCCATAAACCTAGAAGCAGAATTCAGCCACAGTCCCAAGAGTAACTACTCCATTAAATGTTCTCTAATTTTCGTAAAGGTTAGTCACGATTTCAGAGGTCCCAGGGCACATAGCCTTCTGCCCTCTTGCTCTCTTGGCCTTTCCTCCTCTGGAGCAACACCAGTTTCTTCCACTGGCCTCATGCAAAGCAGTCCCACCCACAATGCTTTGTCAATCCAGTGATAATTCCCTGCTACTCTAGCCCTTTAGAGTAGTAATTTCCCTGCTATGAAGGATGACATTCTATAAAACCAAGAGTATTTTGTGAAAGAAGAGGTGTGGTGCTCTAGGGAAAGTTCCTGGCAGTTACTCTATTCTGTGATAAAGCCAGCCATTCAACAAGTGTTTATTGAGCATCTACTATGTACTAAGGCTTTATTCTAGGCATAGGAGATACTGTAGTAAATGACACGGATAAATCCTCTGCCCTTGATGTCCAGTGAGAGAGATGGACAATAAATATATATTTATAAGTTAATTATTGCCCTAACCGGTTTGGCTCTTTGGATAGAATGTCAGCCTGTGGACTGAAGGGTCATGGGTTCAATTCTGGTCAAGGGCACATGCCTGGGTTGCGGGCTCAATCCCCAGAAAGGGGAGTGCAGGAGGGAGCTTATCAATGATTCTCTCTGATCACTGATGTTTCTGTTTCTCTCTCCCTCTCCCTTCCTTTCTGAAATCAATAAAAATATATATTAAAAAAATTTAAGATTAATTATTTAAGTAATTTGGGGGGAATTCCATTTTTTTCAGCTTTATAGAAATGTAATTGAAAAAAATTGTAAGATATTTTTTAAAATATTAATTATTTAAGTATAATGATGGGAATGCCACAGCAGAAAAATCCAGGGTAAATCATATAACATCAAGGGTACATGAAAATGAGGAGAAACAAGAATTCTCATGAACTACTGGTGGGAGTAGATAAGCTGGTACAAGAATTTTAGACCCATGCTGTCCAAACAAGTAGCCAATAGCCACATGTGCTGTTGAGCAATTGAAATATGACTTAATTCCAAATTTATTTAATTTTAATTTAAAAACCGATACTCGATTCAGTTATTGGAAAACTTTTAAGTATGCTTGGGACAAGTTGTAAGTTTACTTTTTCAATTGAAAATTTTATGCCATCTAAATACGGGTCAGTATTTCTGATGAAAATTCAGTGTTTAAATTGAGGTGTATCATGAGTGTAAAATATGTACTATATTTTGAAGACTTATTTTGGAAAAAGGAAAATTTATCGCATTAATAATTTTTATATTGGTTACACATTGAAATGATATTTTAGATATGTTGGGTGAAGTTAAAAATGATAAAATTACTCTCGTTTCTTTTCCCTTTTTTTAATGTGGTTACTGGAATATTTTAAATTACATATGTGGCTCGCATCATATCTTTATTGGACAGATTTACAAGGGCCTTTTTGTTGTTGTTGTTAATCCTCACCCAAGGATATTTTTCCATTGATTTTTAGAGAGAGTGGGAAAGAGAGAGAATCGTCGGTGTGAGAGAAACATATTGATTGGTTGCCTCCTGCATGAGCCCTGATCAAGGCCCAGGCTGGGGAGGAGCCTGCAACTGAGGTATGTGCCCTTGACCAGAATCGAACCCAGGACCCTGTGGTCTGCAGGTCAACGCTCTATCCACCGAGCCAAACTGGCTAGGGCCAGCGGCCTTTTTTTAGGCATGCCCTTCTCGGCAGCCTCCATAGAGAAACATGTGCATAAACTGCATGTATGAGGATTTTCAGGGTGGTTTAGTTTACAATACAGAAACACTGGAAACACCCTTGTTGGTGGACACCAACAAAGAAATTACTGTTGTTTTAATGACACCAACAAAGGAATTATTGTTGTTTTAACAATACATCCACAGCTTGGAATACTCTACAGTAGTTACAAAGAATGGGTAAGACCCATAGTATCGAAAGGAAAACATTTCCAAGATTTCCTCTTCCCACAGTGGGTCTCAGGCTGTGTCACGGATAATAAGTAGGAAAGGATGCAAAGTAGATGAGATAGCAAAATAACCATTTCTTATCAGCTATCACACTTATGTCTTGCAAATTTCCTGATCTTAGCTCACAACAATGCCTTCCTGCTAAGCAACAATGATGCACAGGTGGCCTCATTTTGTCTCCGTCACCTGCCTGTAACACTTCCTCTGAGTGATTAACTGGAAAAGGTGACGTGTCTTACCCAAGGTTGCACCGCCAGCACAAAACTTGTCTCCAAGTCGAGTGCCCTTTGCACAATAATGAAGAGGCATCGCCTCGTGGATAAGAACACGGTCTGAAGGCAGACTGAGGAGGTTTCCAGATCTGGCTCTACCACTTATATATGACTTCAGCCAAGTTTCTTGTCTTCTCATCTCTGAATTGCCGTTTGCAAAAACAGCAACAGCCTCATAGGATTATCGTGAGGGTTAAAATGAGCAAATACATGTGAAGTGCTCACCACAGTGCCTGGCAGGGAGTAACCACTCAGTTGATGTTCATAACAATAACCTACCATAATGCATGTGGCCATTTACCTATGTAGATTACATGCAATCCACTGCCTCCTAGTTGCCTGTTTGACAGATCAGAGAATCTTAGGGGAAGTTAACTCTATAAAGTCAGTTTCTCAACTAGGGAAGACAGTGTCCACATAGAGGGCCTTTGGGAAGAGGAGGAGACACCCTTTAGATCAGTGGTTCTCAACCTTGGCTACACATTAGAATCACCTGGGAATCTTTTTAAAATCCTGATTTCTGGGCCTCATCCTCTGGAAATTCTGTTTCTTTGTTACTAATGTTGTGGCCCCACCCCATAACAAAGAAACAGAATTTCCGGAGGATGAGGCCCAGAAATCAGGATTTTAAAAAGATTCCCAGGTGATTCTAATGTGCAGCTAAGGTTGAGAACCACTGCTTTAGATTGTCCCAATGATTGAGGGGGAGGGGAATACTGGCATTTAGCTGGTTGGCACATATGCCAAATATCCTGCAATGTGTATAACAGTTCTCTACAAAAAATTAGTTGTCCCAACCAAAATACTAATATCCCCTATTTAGAAACACTGGAATGGCTGAAGGAAAAGATATGATGGCAAGGTACTTCTTTTTGTCTTTAAAGAAGTTAAAAAAGTAGATTGATTATTTGCAAATTTTCTTCCAAACTTGCTCATTTCCCCCCTCAATGTGGCACAAGAGCTTCCTGCCCAGAGTTTGAGGGGAATTAGAAGGCAGTGCCCAGAGGCACCACTGCAGACCCGGGGTTCCTTGCTCCATGGGAATTCACAGTCACGATTTCTACAACTGAATTTCCCATTTTCCCTTACTTAGCGATGTGTCTCACTAACTCCTCTGTTTCTTGTTTTACAGCATAAAAATCAATGCCTTTTCATTTCCCAACACGTCATTAGCCTTTGTGCCGGGGGTGGGAATCAAGGCCCTGACCAACCACGGCACGGCCAACATCAGCACAAACTGGGAAGTCAAGTCGCCACTTTTGTGAGTATCCCCTAAAAAGCCTGCTGCTGTTGTGGAGGGAAATGGAGCAGAAATCCAAAGTGTAGAAATTTGCTAATGTTTTTGATGTTAGGCTTCTTTCCTCAACCATTAACACTCTTTTTCAAGAGCATTTTTCCAGGAGAGAATTAAATCAGAATATCTCTGCTGGGTGTCAGAGGGGAAGGGCTGAAAGTCATCTTTACCAGAAAGACAGAGTAACTGGTCAAAAGGTCCTTTACGATTTCCTAAGAGCTAAAAGACTGTTGGAGAAATGGACATGCGCTCAACATTTGAGATGCCTCATTGGTCACTGTATGATCTTAGCCAGTCATTGAACACTCTTTGCCATCTGGGGGACCTTCCTACCTCACAAGGAGGTTGGAGCCTTCCTATCACAAGGAGGCTGGAGGATGATAGTCAGCTTGCGCCCAGTTCTCCCCTAACAAAAGGCCTTTGCACCCTCCTTAGAAAGAAGGGATCAAATCAAGGTATGCTTACAGACCACCCACTAGTACAAGTTGCTATCCTAGGTATAATGTGTAGGTCTGCCTTGGTTGGTGCCCCAGAATAACACATTCATTCACCCACTTGGTCATTTAACAAGCATGTATTGAGTGCCTACTGTTTACCATTTATTCCCATCTCAAGAACTCCAAGAACTCTTATGGACTGGGGAGAAATGACATATCCTCCTATAAGTAGCATGGATTCATGTATTTATTCTTGTTATTCTTGTCTTTGCTGAGTCATCAGCTTCACATTGCATGCTTATTTTGCATCAGGCCACCAGCTAAGTCCTGGGGACATGGACATGAGTAACACACACTCCACTCCTTCAAGGAGTTCAGACTACGTGTCCCTTTCCCATCCATGCCCCTCCTACATAACGTGTGGCCAACCCCCTCCCCCCGCCCCCAACCATGTTCTCTCTCTAAACAAGCATTGTATACGAATGGTGCTCAGTATGTGCTCAACCACTGGGGCGGGGGCAGGGCACTGAGGATGAAATAACTGCAAGGTCCCTAAAGCTGTCACCATTCCCATAATTCATTACTTCATTTGTTCAGCAAATATTCATTCAGCACCTGCTCTGATCCTACCTGTTGTAGGTGCCAGGAATCCAGAGGTGACAAGGGTCCTGCCCTCCAGGAGCTCAGAGTCCATGGATAGAGAACTGAGCCATCTCCTCCCCTGCTGAGGCCTGGTTAACCTTGCACTTTTTCTCTCCATAGCCAAGACTCAGGAGGAGCTGATCTGTTTCTCTCTGGGGTCTACTTCGCGGGTATCCTTACCCTGACCCGAAATGACTTGGGTCAACCAAACCTGGAGCTCCAAGACTGCCACGCCCAAGTGAGCCACGCCCACGTCTCATTTTCTGGAGAACTCAGGTGAGGGAGGGTGCCCTGGTGGACGGTGGCTAGTTGGGGGCGGTCTGGATTCTCGGGCAGCATGTAGGAGAGGTTAATAACCAACAGGTACAGTCCCTGAGTAAGCCCTTTCTTATTTCCTTTTTTTCTCCAGTGTCCTGTATAACTCCTTCGCTGAGCCCATGGAGAAACCCATTTTAAAGAACTTAAATGAAATGGTAAGTCTTTAGAGGTTACACAACCATGGTCAAATGCCATCAGCAGCAGGTCCGCCATGCTTGAATTAATTCTTGGTCAATAAACCTTTATTGAGCACCTACTGTGTGCTAGGCACCATCCAAGGCTCTTTCACACACATCATTCTATAGAATTCCCTTCCTCAAGTTCATGCCAAACAATCAACAAGAATTTATTTATTGTGTACCCACTGCATGCCCAGCAGTAGGCTAGCCTCTGTTGGGATATGAAAAAGAAGTAAACTTACCATTTTTTTAGGAAAACCAAAGTCAGGCTTGTGAAGCAATAACTGAATGAGGACTTGAATTTAGGACATACTTATATGATCATTAGATTGAACTGAAGAGGTTCAGAGAAATGGGAAAATTAAATAAATAGATCCTGGAAGTATCCTGGGAGACATTTTTAGAGGATGCAGGACTTGAACTGGGCCTTGAAATACAGGTAGGATCTGGATAGGTAAGGAATGGGAAAGAAGATAGGCTATTTCCAGCCAATAGAAACAATGTGAGTTAAGATGGCTTCCAAAGCTACAAGTAGCTAGATTCCAGAAGTCCGAGTTTGAGGAAGGGGAAAGACGGGATTGGCTGTGTGCCCTCTTTCCAATCCTGACCAGACCTTCCCTGAACTCTTGACCCGTATTTGTGGGAGACAGAGAGAGGGATGAGGAAGAGTGGGAACGAAGGGAGACTCCTTTCTGAAAAAGGGGTAAGGACAGTGGCTATCTCCTCTCCCTCATGCTCAGCTCAGTGCTTAATGAATACCGGCGAGGAAATCAACAAGTAGGAATAGTAAACAGCCTGTCCAGTGAGGTTGCTGGCTCATCAAGGGACTGAGGCTTCTCAGTCTTTCTCCATCTTACCTGACAGGGGCTGGGGGCCAGTGGATGTGCACATTAAAGAGCGACTGGGAAATAGTGCTGCCACCTTCAAGGACCTCACAGTTGACCATTCCTTTGTTCAGAACGAGGCATGGTTCTTGGCCAACAGTTAAGTTTGCCTGGAGTTTACATACAACTTAGGAATCATAGATGCTTTGCCTCTAGTATTCCCTCTGAGCCACTGGAAAATGAAGAGAATACTGAGACCACAACTGTCGAGCTGTGATGTGACACCTGGTGACTCTGTCAGCCTCCCTTCTTCAGTTTTCCCATTTGTAAATAGGGGACAGTAGGGCTTACCTCCCAGAGCTATAGCGAGGATGAAATGGGGTTAAAACAACAGCTAACATATACTGAATGCTTACTCTTAGTAACCTGATGAGGTAGATGCAATTGTCACTCCCATTTTGCAGATGAGGAAACTGAGGACAGAGAGTACAGGTAACTTGCCAAGGGATTCAACCCACCTCCCAAGCCTTTGCTAGTAACCACCACCCTGAGTGCGTAGCACACGCCTGGCACACAGCAGGTCCATCGATGTCTTTCCTTCTTCCTCCAGATGTGCTTGAGTCTGATTCAAGGTTTATTTTCTAATTCCAAGCAGGGTTCGATTGAAATAGATGCCTGATCTAATGGATCTAGTCGAACCAGCCCAGCGGGGAAGTAGAGGCCCCAGCTGTGTCCACACCCGGCAGCATGGGGATGACAGAGCAGGGGAAAGGCATAGCAGGTTCCTCAGGTGGGACACCTCCAGCATGGACTGGGGCACATGTCCTGTCATGCACAGGAAGAAAAGGCAGTGGCTCATTCTTTTATGGGCCTCCCTGGCATTAGTCCCAGTGGCTGTGAAGTTTAGTCAGCATTCAATGACTTGCCGCCCATACATACGTAACTTGAGGCCCATAGACATCAACTAATTTAAAAGAAAGTCTTGATGGCCGAATGGAGACTGTCTCCTAGCCTTTTGCTGGCAGGGTCTACGCCCATAAGTAGAGGTTTCCAGTATAATATGATAACCTGCATTTTTTAAAAATTCCTTTTATGGCCAGCTCTGTCCCATTATCACGGGAGAGGTGGAAGCACTGAATGCCAATCTCAGCATGCTGGAGGGTGAGTCTCTGAACCGTCTCTTCTGGATGGTTCTTTCCCCACCTTCCCACTTTGGTGCTCTCCAGGTTTGCTTCTCCACACAATACAGCTCCGCCTCTTCAGTCTGTTTTCCACTCTGCAAACTAGAGCCTCGGGAAGGTGGGGGCCACAGGGGCACAGCCTGTGTATGGGGCCTGCTCTTTGCTTCTGCAACCAACTTCTCTGCAGGCGGGGGTGGCTTCAGAAGACCAGATGCAGTTCAGAGAATTAAACTCTCACGAGCTTTAATCCCAGCTCTGGCACTAAATGCATCCTCTTCAGAATGGTTAATGCTAATCTGGGCCAGGTTATCCCTTTCATTGGTTCCTCCCTGACTTCGGGATCAAGTCCAAATGCTTTAACGTGGACTGCAAGACTCACCCACCATGCTCTGGCTCCTACTTTCTTCTCTCTGCTTCATCTTGCACCTTTCTCTGCTCCAGCAATCAAACTGCCTTTCCTGACCTCACACCCCTTACCTTTGCTCATGTTGTCCTCTGCCTAGAAGAGCTTCCTCTCCCTTCACCCATTCATTCATTTAGTAGCCATTATCAGTGCCTATTTCGTTGCCAACACTGTGCTAAGTGGTGAGGGATGCAGTCCCTTCCACTCGCTACCCCTCGGCCATCCCTTGTCTTGTTCACTTCTCTTTATCTTTTCAGGCTCAGCTCAGGCATAGTCTCTTCCAAGAAACCTTACCTGATGTCCACACCCTAAAGTTCCGCCTCCTCTGTACTCACATGATACTCTGAAAGTGTCTCTCTCTTTCCATTCCACCCATTCATTCACCAATGGTACGAGCCAGGTGCTGCTCTTGGTGCTGGAATGCAGCAGTCAGGCTCGGAAACAGAAACCCCTGCCCTCATGGGACTAGTGGGAGGAGACAGACAGCAAGCAAGATAATAAGTAAAATCTCTGGCATCCTAGTGATGAGTGATAAGAACAAAACTAAAGCAGGGAAGGAGCTGGGGAGTGGTTTTCATTTTAGATAGTGAGGCCAGGGGTTGCCATTTTAGATACTGAGAAAGTAACATAGAGTACGAATCTGTATGAAGTAAGGAGTGAGCCACTCCTAGATCTGGGCAAAGAATATTTCAAGTAGAAGAAACCTCAAGCTCACAGGTCCTGAAGCGAGAACATGCCAGGTGTGCTAGAGGAACTCTGAGGAGGCCATATGGGGAGCAGAGGGAGTCGGGGGTTGTGGGGGGATAGCAGGAGATGAGGTCAGGGAGGAGAAAGCAGATGGGTAGATGTCCAGGACTCTGTAGGTCATTGGGAAGCCTTTGGAGAGTTCTGAGCAATGCTTGCATGATCTCATCTATATTTTAAGAATATCACTCTGACTTCTGTCCATTAGTAATAGACAGGAGGGGGGGCAAAGGTGGAAGCAGGGAGACCACTTAAGAGGCTACTGACTCCCTTGATGAGCCTAGATGAAGGCGAGGCACATTCAGGTCCCGGATGTAGCTTGCAGGTAGAGACAGTGGTATTTGCTGACACACCAAATGTAGGTCATGAGGGGAGTCAAGGATGACCCCAGGTTTTTACCCTGAGCAACCAGAACTTTGGAAAAATGGAATTACCAGTTACCCAAATGGGGAAGACTGTGAGAATAGGTTTGTAGTAGGACCATCAAGAGCTCAGTTTTAGATCTGCTCTTACTACCCTGTCTTCTGTTTTCCCGTTTATATGTCTGTCTCCTCCACCAGACTTTGAGTTCCACGAGGGCAGGGACTGTGACTCATCTGTGTTCCTAGCACCGGGCACAGTGCCTAAGCCACGCTAAGTTAATAAATATTGGATTGATGAAGGGATGACAGGAGATGGGCGGCTGGGCAAATAGATTGATGAATGGATCCAGGTGGATGAAAGAAAATGAATGGGTTGGGGAGGCAGGGAAAGAGAAAGAAGGAGTGAAAAAAGAACTGGTGGAGGAGTCTCATGTCCTAGCTTGCCTAGGGAAAGTTTCTGTACCTCTGGGAGCTGCACTCCCCTCACCTGTAAAGTGATCACAATCCTGCTTCCCTCACAGTCTGATGGTGGATCCATGGAGATTGTGAATTTGAAAACAGATTTAAAACTATGGTGTCATAGGATAGTATTGCTCCCTCACCTTAGCAAATCGCTTCATCTCTTCTTCCTTCGCATTGCCATCTATGGCATAAACCAAGCATGACGTGCAAGAAGGGAAGCTGTGGTGCTCAGGGCCTGCCTCTAGGGAGGAAGTCTTCCTGTCGCAGAGCACATGGTGGTGTTGGTGGTGGTTGGTGTCGGGAAAGCAGCTCCAGGCCAGGGCAGGAACTGAGCACCGCACCACCACACACATAACCCATCCCAGACACTGATGTCCATGCTTCCTGCAAGCCATGCCCGCTGTTCCCTGGGCCCGGCCCCCTGCCTGGTCTTCTGCTTGGCTCTGAAAACGATAGTACTAAAAGGACGTGAATCAGTAGCACTGTGCCTGAGAATGTCCGTGGCCTCTCCAACCTAGTGGATTTTACTCCTGTCTGTCTGTCTCGATATTTCTTTTTAAAAATTATTTCTAATTACAACAGTAATGCATGCTTATTGTGAAACAATTAAGTTCTAACTACATAGGAGGCTTTAACATAGAACTTGAAAGTCTCTCATTATACCAACCTACTACGTATGGCTTAATGTTGACAAGTGACCTGTTTGTCTAATCCAGCCGTGGGCAAACTACGGCCCGCGGGCCGAATCCGGCCCGTTTGAAATGAATAAAACTAAAAAAAAAAAAAGACCGTACCCTTTTATGTAATGATGTTTACTTTGAATTTGTATTAGTTCACACAAACACTCCATCCATGCTTTTGTTCCGGCCCTCCGGTCCAGTTTAAGAACCCATTGTGGCCCTCGAGTCAAAAAGTTTGCCCACCCCTGGTCTAATCCCTTCTTTTAAAGAATGTATGTGCATTGACAAAGAGAGAGAGAGACAGAGAGAGATAAAAAGGGTATATACCGAAAATTTAAGTTTCTCTCAGGGTAATGTAATTTAAAAGGGTTTTTACTCTCTTCTTTTGACTTACCTACTTTTCCTGGGTCTTAAAAAGTGAGCATGTCCTAAAACTAATATAATATTGAATGTCAACTATTAAATAAATAATAAGAAAAAGGTGAATGTGTATTACTTATGAAATAGGGTAATTATTCTTTTAAACAATATAATTTTAAATTCTTCAATTTTTTAAAATTTGTTCTAGACATACATTAATCATATGTTATGCTTTTAAGGAATGTAACTTTTCTTTTTGCTTTATCTGTTTTAGTTTTAACCAAGATTGACAACTATACCCTGCTGGATTTTTCACTAATGAGTTCTCCAGAAATTACTGAGAACTACATTGACCTGAACTTGAAGGTAACTTTATCATCATCATCAGAGTTCTCATCCTGGCTACCAACAGCCAGTACAAGCGCCCCTCTGTGTCCTCCAAGGATTGGTTACGGGACACCTCCCCAGACCAAAATCTTCCATACTCAAGTCCCTTACATGGTGTTTGCAATTAACCTAGGCACATCCTCCTGTATACTTTACACCATTTCTAGATTACTTATGTAACCTAATACAACATAAATGCTATGTAGATGGTTGTTAAAAGGAAATGTACATGCTCCGTGCGACACAACCATCAGAGGCCTAACTACATAGTGCCCCTCAGCAACAATGTAACTTTGTTTTCAAATATTTTTGTCTGCGGTTGGTTGAAGTAGAACCTAAGGATACAGAGGGCTGACTGTATTCAGGGAACAAATGTGTGCAGAGAAAATATACCTACATGCTCTTCAAATAATTTCATCTTCTTTGAAACAATCCCTGATGTTATGCTCTTTCGAAAGACTCTTGAACATTTCCTTGATCCGTAAAGGATGGTTTGGATTGCACAAGACATGTCTGTCTTCTTCCAGAAGAGTCTCATGATGCCTTTGCCTCTGGGAGTGGAGTGAGGCTAGGAGGCAGCAAGTAGAGTGGTCTGCAATTATTAGAACTTACCACATCAGTAATTGTACATATTAGTACTTCTGTTCCTCTCAGATTAGTCCATTTAACTGCGAGCTGCCGACCTCTACTGGGGCTATTAGCACATGAAAATGGTGTTTGCTGATTCTGGGAAAGTGACTAACTGCCCTTATGTTTAGTTTTGTCCCAAAGTTAATATCATTGTTTTTAAAAATGCATATTGGCTTATATTTCAATCACTCAGAGTCATTCACATTAGTTAAACATTACACAAGACAACCAGTGGCTAATGAGGGCCATTAGAAATGCCACGGATTTTCTCCTAGACTTCTGAAAGCCATGTGCATTCATGAAGACGTGATGCAGGTGCAGTTCAAGGTGCCGTGTTCAACCCAGTGCAACTCAATCAATATTTGCTGAATGCTTTAAATCATATAGAGTTCTGGAGCCTCCTGAGTCTTTCTGTAACACCCTAGACACTCAGCAATCACAGGGTTTGAAGGTCAGGGGTTTGACATCTCCACCTGGCACCTCAGGAAGTATTCAGAGCTGTCACCTCCAGCTAAATGCACCTGCCTTTCTTTCCTGGAGAAGAGGACCGACAAGGAACTTCTTACTAGGTTACACCCCAGAGTGGACAGACATGCCCAGATGTACGCTCAAGAAGTCGTCAGAGCTTTGAAACATGGTCACTAGTCAAGGAGTCAGAAGGCCTTATCATTTTTTTCTTCCCTCCTGAGTTTCCACAATTTTTCTTATTCTGACCTGAGAGGGTCCACCTTCATGTGTCCTGCATATTTGAGCCTTCACCTAACACACTGGCCTCTCTCTCTTTTCCCACAGGGCGTATTCTACCCACTGGAAAACCTCGCCGACCCCCCCTTCTCCCCAGTGCCTTTTGAGCTCCCAGAACGCAGCGACTCAATGCTCTACATTGGAATCTCCGAATGTTTCTTTAAATCTGCTTCCTTCGCTCATTTTGCAGCTGGGGCTTTCAATGTCACTCTCTCCACAAAAGAGGTGAGGAGAGCTAACGGGTGATGACAGTCGGCTCCAACATTTCATCTTATCATAAGTATCCCAGTTGGGGGCTTCTATGTCATAACTTCTATTCCTAGGCTCTGTAGACCAGCACTCCTATCAGGACGATGAATGAAGGAGTTGTGGCATGAATGTTAATAGTTGGAAAGTTGTTGAGTTTCCAGTTCTTCTAATTTCATTTTTTATGACTCCAAGTCACTGTTCTAGATGACAGGACCCCCTCCATCACTTACTACCTGTGACCTTGGGCAATTTCAGTTTATTTAACTTCTCTGTGCCAGAGTTTCCTCATTTGAAAAATTGGAATAATAATAATTCTTTAATGTCCATAATAACCCATAGGTTGATGTGGACATTAAAGAGATTTAAATAAATTTAAAGCATTCAGACCAATGCCCAGCACAGAGAAAGTATACTATAAGTATTGCTGGTTATTATTATTATTATTCCTTATGTTATGCCAACATCAATATTTCTTCTGCAACTGACCTATCTGCAGTGACTGTGAGAATACAGATACTCACTGATTCTCTCTGCCATGCCCCTCCCTTTTACATATGAGAACACTCTTTCCAGCCAGCCAACCAACAACTTTTACTGAGCATCCCTTATGAATCTTCATTCCGTAGGTCTTAATTATGCAAGTTGTCATAAACCTTATGTTCAGAATACTAAGTTGGCCATACCAGCTACCATGTGCTGAAAATTAGACACTTCTAGCTTCAAGACTTAAAAACCACCCATCCGTGAAGATAAATTACTTAAGCCTTCTATGTCTCCATAATGAAGACAGTAGCATAAAACGTGTTGTTAACCACCATAGAATATTTATATAGGGACCACACATAGTGTATGATGTACACAGTGTTCCCACGGTTAAAAGCCACTTACTCAAAAGGAATGTATCTCTCTCCTGTGGGACTCCCCGTGTGCAAGTCACTTTACTTCCCTGGGCCTCATGTTTCCTGGGGTTGGTCTATAGAATGGTAAGTTGCCTTCAAACACTTTTTCTGGTGCAACAGCTTCATAATTCATACAAATTATAGGCAATACTATATTTTCCCTGAAAAGACAACCTGAAGTAAAAACCTTACACTCTGACATGATGGGCTTCATTTTCCAGATTTCCAGCCATTTGGTTCGAAACTCTCAAGGCGTTGGCAACATTCTCTCCCGGGTAAGTGGTCAGGATTTGACTCCTTGATAGTGTATTTGGTTTCGTTGGAATTACTTCCAGAACACTTGGGGTTCTTTTTTTGTTGTTGTTGTTGTTTTTATTTTGGGGGTTCTTTTTATTCCTTTTCGGTGCAAGCCCAAGTCCATGTTTACATTCTTAAGGAATTTTTTTCTTTTGTTCAAGTATCCACAAATATTTACTGAACATCTTACTATTAAAAGATTTTAGGTTCAAAAGATAAATCATCTGTTGCACCCACAAGGTTCCACACACTGGAAATAATTAGCTTAAATGGGAAATGAATGGCTAGTGCCCTTGCTTGTGCCTTTCATCAAGCAACGATTAATGCCATGCCTCAGAGCACCTGAGTGCTGGACCAAGGTATGAAAGGCTCAGGTTTGCCCCTGAGGACAAAGACAGACATGCTGTTTTTGTTTTGTTCGATTGTTTTAAATATATTTTTATTGATTTTAGAGAGGAAGGGAGAGAGAGATAGAAACATCAACGATGAGAGAGAATCATTGATTGGCTGCCTCCTGCACACCCCGCACTAGGGATTGAGCCCACAACCAGGGCATGTGCCCTGACCAGGAATCAAACCATGACCTCCTGGTTCGTAGGTCTATGCTCAACCACTGAGCCACACCGGGCAAGACATACTGTTTTTAGAGCATCCTGGATTTAGAGTAAGAATCTTGAGTCACACAGTCCTACATCTGAACCCCAATTCTACAACTTACTCACCTGCAACCTTGAGAAAATGACTGAACCTCTCTAAGACTGACTTTTTTTATTTGTGAAATGGAGAGAACTTGCCTCACAAGGATTTTGTGAAGATTAAATGAGATAATACAAACAGCCTTGGCATGGTGCCTGGCACACAGTGTGTGTTCGATAAACCTCAGCCATTATTATTTGTTTTTGGCATGTTGTTGTTGTTACTATTAAGGAGCTTTTCTTCTATTCTTACCGCATGATGTAAGATTTAGTCACCCCAAATTTGTGACTTTCACTCATCAACTCACAACCCCCGGTCTCCATTTTTTCCCTGAACCCGGGCAGATTGCGGAGATCTACATCTTGTCCCAGCCCTTCATGGTTCGCATCATGGCCACGGAGCCTCCCGTGATCAGTTTACTGCCAGGGAACTTCACCCTGGACATCCCTGCTTCCATCATGTTACTCACCCAGTCTGAGAACTCCACCGCCGAGGCCATCGTTTCCATGGACTTTGTAAGTCGGTGGGGACAGAGGGCAGCCTGTGGATGCCAATGCTCTCCTGTAGAAACCACTGGCCAGCAGTGGTCTCCTACGTGCTTGGAGGGCTGGGAAGTGATATATCAGGAGTGAGGACAGGGTTGAGATGGGGTGTGGGGAGCTATGAGAGGCCAGTGCTCAAACCCCATACATTGTAAAATAGCTCTGCGCCCTTCTCTGCTCCCCGTGTGCCCTTCCCTCTGCTTCAGTTACATTGACAGCCAAGCTTCTTTTCCCTTGAAATAAGTTAATCAAGGTGGAATTCAAGTTTATTTGAGCAGATAAAGACCAAATACAATTCAATAGAAAGGGACTAATACAATGAACCTAAGCGAAATACCACACACACACACACACACACACACACACACACACACACACACATATGGTACATAGAGAGGAGAGATTAGGAGGAAAAAAACAGTTTAAAGGAGATCTTCAAGCAGAAGTCTTTATATTTAGTTTTCTTACCTGAAAGACAGTATTTTTAGAATTATTTCTTTCAAATATCTCTCAGAATGAGAGGGAAATGGAGCTTATGATGTTTCCACTATGGGGAATAATATCTATGGCCACTTTATGGCCAGAGAGCTTCACTCTTAGCAACCCATGCTTTTCTTGTCTGCAGGTCGCTAGCACCAGTGTCGGCCTGGTTATTCTGGGACAAAGACTGATCTGCTCCCTGTCTCTGAACAGGTAAGATCAAATGATTTGACTGTTGGGAACCTTCCCCATAAGTGAATCAACAGACCATAGAGACAAAGACAACAAGTGCAGTTACCGAGTTACCGCTGGATAGAACATGAATCACTTACACACTTCTCCCGCAATAGTCCAGATCATTGCAAAGTAGGGACTTAAAAATGTGTTGCGAACATTTTCTTTTTTCCTTCCCATTAAATAATATTAAGCTAAAATAGGCAACACGGTAATATAATTATTTACTATAAAGGCACATTCTGATGGTACAGCCATGTAAAACTAAAATTCCTCTTTAACAAATTCAGAAGCCATGCAATCGAGCAAAGAGCATAAAACTTGGAGGTCAAGGAATGAAGTTTCAAATCCCTGCTCACTGCTTCCATATCCGTGATCAAGTCTATTGACCGCTGAGTCTCAGTTTCCTTATCTGAGAAATAATGGAGTTGGACTGAATCATTCCGCAGATACCTTCAGGCTCTGGCACTCGGATCTCGTTACTGTAAGGTAGAGTTTGACAAGCCTGTGCCAAATGGCCTGGCTGGCTCTCAGCTGCAAGCCATGCGGTGTGAAGGGGCTTGAGCAGGTCATAGACACAGATCGTTGAACACTAATGGCCATTGGGAGGAACAGCCCATTTTCCTCAGCCCTATGAAGCCCATAGTTGAAGCCATGAATCAGACTACCTGTGGGGAGGAGATACAGAATGATCAGATGGCCCAGATTAAACCTGTGAAAGGAAGAAATAGACAAAGAATAAAACAGACAAAGAAGGCAGAGTCCAAAAAGAATAGGAATAGGAAACCAACAGAGGGGAAAACTAAGTCAATCACCATCAGTCAACTTGATGGTTATCAGGACTATTGTAGAAACATGTTTTCTTTCTTTAAAAAAAAAAAAACAACAACTTTATTGTTGAAAGTATTGCATATGTCCCCATTTTTTTCTCCATTGCAAGATGTTTTCAATAAAATACCTGTAATACTAAATGAAACAAGCAAAATATGGAACTGCATAAGCACATGGGTCAGCCCTGTGAAAATGAAAATGCAGACCCCTTGTTCAAAAATTATGTAGAATTTCAAGATGGAGACAGCAGGGCATTTAACCGAGCAGGGCCCTTCTGAGCAGAGGCCCCGTCCTAACTGCACAGGTTGCCGGCATGAGTCTGAGGGTGGCCCCTACAGGGGCTACTGTAGCAAACCTCCGGCAAGGAGCAGACTATGGCCAAGGTGAGTGGGCCTGGCTTCACTCAGACTTCAGGCAGCCAACCTGAGAGGCAAGGCTTTGCCAAGGAGCAGAGGTGGTGCTGGAAGAGTGGCCTTAGCCTTTGGCAGCGAGAACGGTAGCCCCGCCGCCCACATGGGCCACCCCAGCCAGTGTCTCCACTCCTGGGCTTCGCAGGCAAGCGCTGCTTTTCAGGATGAGCTGGTTTAATCTTTGGTGATGTCAGAGAGACAGAGCAGGAAGGAGAGGAAAGCGGGTGGGGATCAGGGAAACATCCCTGAGAAGAATCGGGGGAGCCCTAACCGGTTTGGCTCAGTGGATAGAGCGTCGGTCTGCGGACTGAAAGGTCCCAGGTTCGATTCCAGTCAAGGGCATGTACCTTGGTTGCAGGCACATTCCCAGTAGGAAGTGTGCAGGAGGCAGCTGGTCGATGTTTCTCTCTCATCAATGTTTCTAACTCTCTATCCCTCTCTCTTCCTCTCTGTAAAAAATCAATAAAAAATATATTTATAAAAAAAAAGAATCGGGGAACACAGGGTCTTCAAATGCAGCTCTCCAGAACACCCCGCCTTTCTAACCATCCCCTGCCTGGAGCAGTTCTTTCCGGAGCTGCTAGGGGTGGGCTGCATAGAGACGAGCTGCGGAAATCAGAGGCACATCCAGAGGGGAGGCTAGAGAGGTAGTGAGCTCACAGGCTTTGCAGTCGGACTTGCTGGTTCAGATCCCAGCCCAGACTCCCAGGCGGGTTTCTACTTCAGGGGTTGTTGTGAGGAATACATGAGTTAATACATGTAAAGTGCATGTTATGTGTTCAAGAAACATCAGCTGTGGCTATTACTTAAAATTGGGGGCTGGCCTCAGCCAGCAGAAAGTGGTGCTCAGTCATACAAGATCATTTCAAGAGTTCCCTTATTCAGAAAACACCTCACTCCCCTGTCCTGGAATGGTGCTTAGAGAAATCACTGTTTGTTCTACTATTCATGACTACTCTGTGTTAGTGAGGCTTTACTGTCTACTGGTCCTGTGCCAAGCACTGCACATAGATTATTTCATTTCAACCTCACAACCCTGTATCTCCAGGACCTGGCACGGCACTCAATAAATGTCTGTAGATTGAATGAATACCCTGGTGGTAGGTGTTATTATCCCCATGGTTCGGTTCCTGGGGGTTATATGACTTACTCAAGTCACAGAGCTATTGAATAGTGGAGCCAGAACGTGAATCTGGGTGAATCTGTTTTCAAAGCCTTGAGTATTTACTTACTGGATTGTAGTGCCTTTGGTGTAGTGAGGAGCTGAGACTTAGAAAATAAGACTTAGACCTAAGAGTTAGAAAAAGAAAATAAAGCCTAGAAGCGGAAACCCATGAGCATGGAGTCACACTGAACTGAAACAGGGAGCATGACCTTCCTCATTGATAAGTAGTGACAGAGGAGACACTGGCATTGGACTTCTCGTTGCATTAAGGAATTGAGTTAAGGAAAGATAAAGAAAGCCAAAGCTGAGAGTATAAATAATAAACTTGACCTCTTTGGATATGTCTGTTAAGAGCACAGGCTCTAAAGTCAGACATATGTGAGTTTGACCTCTACCTCAGTCATTTGGAACTGTGGGACCTTGAGCAAGCTAATTAACCTCTCCAAGTATCAGTTTCCTCACCAGCAAAACAGAGCACGTCTCCATAGCATTGCTGTATGGGTAGGTCGATGAGCTAAAGTGTGAAAAGCACAATACCCAGCGCATTATCAGTGCTCAAGAAAGATCTGTTCCTACTAGCAGTGGTATTTCATTCTTTTTCCCCATTCTAGCATCAAAGTGTGACCCAGATGGTCTTAAAAGCTGTGGAGTTGGCACTCAGTCGTACATCAGATTCTTACGGCTCTATCTACAATAGAGAATTTCATTCCAAACACAGTTCTATTTGGCGGTAGGTTGGCCCACATAGTAGACATTTTGCAATTATTTCTGAGGCCAAATTAAACAACATGAAAAGCACAATACCCAGCACATTATCAGCGCTCAAGAAAGATCCGTTCCTACTAGCAGTGGTATTTCATTCTCTTTCCCCATTCTAGCATCAAAGTGTGACCCAGGTGGTCTTAAAAGCTGTGGAGTTGGCACTCAGTCATACATCAGATTCTTACTGCTCTATCTACAATAGATTCGGTTTCATTCCAAACACAGTTCTATTTGGCGGTAGGTTGGCCCACATAGTAGACATTTTGCAATTATTTCTGAGGCCAAATTAAACAACACTTTCCCTTATTTGGTTCTCATCCAGATGGTGCAATTCTAACCCTCTTAATTGCAAGCAAAGCTTGAAGCAATCAAATGTACATTCGTGTTGAACCATTTAGAACTTTAGATCATTTTTTGACATTGCTATGGGATTGAGGCTTTGGATGCTTCCAAACTGCACCCCACCCCACTACATTAACACACACACACACATGCCCTACAACCCCTCCCATGCAACACTGGCAGAAAATGCAAATATAGCTGACGACAAGCAGATAGAATCACCACCTAACTCCACTCCTCAAGCCTGGGCAGATAAACATTTCCCCAGGTGAGCCATCTGGAGAGAAACCCGGAGAGGAAAACAGGTCCGGGAAGAATGGATTCGGTTTCTGTTGGAACAGTGCTCGGACAGGTCAGCAGAGCTCAGACTTGGCATCGTGTTGACCTCCATCTCCACCCTTCCTCTGAGCCACTGTTGAAGCCACTGTGGGGGGAGGGGCTCCATCAGAGAAGGGAACCCCAAATGACTTCTTCCCCTTCTCCCTGACTCTTTGGGGTAATTTCCAGGTTGCAGAAGGCAATCAAGTGAAAACAATCAAGTTGGGGAACTCTTCCTCATCTAGAGGATCCTTAAATACTGGAATGGGCTCCCCTCAAAATCTTTCATAGTTGGATTGAATCCACAGCCTGGGGTTTGAAGCTCTTCAGTTACTGGTTCTACCTTTCAAGCCAGCCAGCCTGACTTCCCATAGTTTCCTAAAGTGAACACTCTGCTGGTGCAATGAAACCCACACTGGCTCACCCTCAAAGTGACCTCAGTTCCAGTAGACAGTCTCCCACCATGTCCTTTATCTGCTCATTTATCCATAATATCCACTCATTGAGAATTTATTAAGCACCTATTATGTGCTCTGCCCTGTTCTTAATACAGAGAGTAGAGAGGACAGTGGTCGACCTTCCAGATCCACAGTCTGGAGAGAGAAACACTCAGTTTCAGGCAATTACAGTACTGGGTGCAAAGGGACATGGTAGTGTATAGAGTGCTTCTCTCAAAGGGCAGTTTATTCCCCTCCCTCCCTCCCTTCCTTCTTTCTCCTCCTCCTCCTCCTCCTCCTTCTCTTCTTCCTCCTCCTCCTCCTCCT